ATGGATGGCCTCAAACCTACTAGCGATGTCCTGGAACCTAATGGCGACGGCGTCCAACCTACTAGCGATGGCCTCCAACCTACTAGCGATGGCCTGCAACCTAGCAGCGATGCTCCCAACCTAATAGCGTGTCGCAAATGTGCCAGCTGAAAACGCTTAGATATATAGCACTTATATGTTATTTACGCTTGCACTTCTCAGGCAAAAACTGATTTGCTCAAACGAGAGCGCAATTCAAGCTTCAAAGCCTCCTGGTGTGGCAAATGTTTGCGGTCGCAAACACGTTCGGGCTCTCTGAATGAAAACTTACAATAAGATCGCAAGACTTGATGTTCAACAGCACATGCACTCTCTACTTATTTGTTCTTCTTTGTTCTCTCCTCTCTCCGACTCTCCCTCTCTCCCTCCCTCCCTCGCTCCCTCGCTTCCTCCTTTCTCCCTTCCTCCTTTCTCCCTCTATTTCATTTCAGCATAAAATACTTCTAATGACCAATCTCAATTTTGATGCTACCCGCTTCATACCTCCATTTTTCCCGAAAGCATTGCGAAGGGTTCTTCCGGAAAATCCTTTGAAAACTGACACTTCGACGCTTACACTTAGACACACTTAGACATTGACACTTTCACCACACTTGCAGGATAACATGAACGCTATACGTAGCCCTGTGTAAGTGGAAGAGCGAAAGCTGTCAAAGTATGCAAGTGGAAGTATGCAAGCAAGTGTAAGTATGCAAGTGATGAGTATGCAAGCATGCAATGAGTATGCAAGCATGCAATGAGTAGGCAAGTGAAGTAAGCAAGTGAACTAGCACGGGAGATGTCCTAATGAAAAAACATTTCCCCACTCTATAAATTCTCTCTTAAAGGCGGAGGGTGGGACGAACAGCGTCAACCGAAAGTGCAACCCTCTGCGGAGATCGTGCGCGTCGAGCGCGCGAAATGCAGGCGAGAGTGCGATTCGCCGGGTGCCCGCGCAACCCTCTGCGGAGATCGTGCGTGTCGAGTGCGCGAAATGCAGGCGAGAGTGCGATTCGCCGGGTGCCCGCGCAACCCTCTGCGGAGATCGTGCGCGTCGAGCGCGCGAAATGCAGGTGAGAGTCGTGCGATGTGCCGGGTGCCCGCGCAACCCTCTGCGGAGATCGTGCGTGTCGAGTGCGCGAAATGCAGGCGAGAGTGCGATTTGTCCGGTCCGCGCGCAACCCGCTGCGGAAATCGTGCGTGTCGAGTGCGCGAAATGCAGGCGAGAGTGCGATTTGCCGGCTGCCCGCGCAACCCTCTGCGGAGATCGTGCGTGTCGAGGGCGCGAAATGCAGACGAGAGTGCGATTTGGTATGCAACTCTAGTACGCAGAGTAGCTGGGGAGCTGGAAGCGGAGAACTGGCGACGTGGTAGTGCGAGAGTAGTACGCGGAGTAGCTGGGGAGCGGGAAGATGAGAACTGGCGAGTGGGTAGTACAACTTGAGGGCGTGGAGTATCTGGGGAGCTGGGGGATGAGCACTGGCGACTTTGTAGTACAACTGTAGTACGCGGAGTAGCTGGGGAGCTGGAAGCTGAGAACTGGTGACTTTGTAGTACAACTTTAGTACGCGGAGCAATCTGTGGAGCTGGAAGCTGAGAACTGGCGACTGCGTAGTACAACTTTAGTACGCGGAGTAGCTGTGGAGCTGGAAGATGAGAAGTGGCGACTTGGTAATACAACTTAGCACGCAGAGTAGCTGGGGAGTGGGAAGATGAGAACTGATGAGTGGGTAGTAGCTGAGACGTTATTGTTCAGTCTGCAGTGCAGCGTCATCAAGTTGCAGTCCCACACCTGCTTTGGCAGCTTCCGCTCCTTCCCCTTAGCGTCGTCTTCAGCTTTCTTTACGTGCGTTGGGGATTAGTGCCTTGGGTGCACACGTGAAACGTGAGAAAGATCCTACACCTGAGACTCAGGTCCATGCTGATGCATGGATACCAATGCAATTGGTGAAACTCTAAGAGAGAACCTCTCTGCTCAGCTTTTGTCCCTCCTCTCCCACCCTGTAATGTCCGTCATCGACTCCCCTGTCGGTAGACGATTCCCAGGTTGGATGAAGATATGCCCAGAAGGGTGCGCACATGAAACGTGAGGAAGATCCTACACCTGAGAATCAGGTCCACGCTGTTGCATGAATGCCAATGCAATTGGCAGAAAGCCTTTGACTGGAGTTCAAGCGAAAGGAAAAGGGAGCGTAGCGCAAGCCATAGACTGAATGTAGGCGCTTGGGGCAGGCTTGGCGTAGGCTAATCATTCAGGACTTGGTCTTTGCACAAGTTAAATGGTTACATTCTGGCTCAAGGCTAGCTTTAGCGCCAAAATAGCTTTGTGGAGTGAAACTCTAAGAGAGAACCTCTCTGCTCAGCTGGCAGTTTTGGCGAGTGATCAGGTGGTCCAGTGGATAGGAAGACTGGGTTAGGAACAACAGCCGCAACTTCGCAGATGCCTACACCATCCAGATCTGCTTCGGGTGGACGCGCTAGACCCAACCAACTGCGTGTCTCATACCGTGAGATTCCCTGCAGCCGTGCACGCTGCTTCTCCCCTTACCAGC